AGACACAGAAAAAGGAATTTAAGGTAGAATTTGGTAGATGCTTCAATCTAGCTTTTATAATAGACCGAAGTTGAATTCCACTTTCAGAGTGAAAAGTTGTCAGTCTGTAGAGTGTCAAGTTCGGACAACCTGAGTGCTATAGGTTCGGACACTGTCCCAGGGTAGAAGGTACTTGATAGACATCGTGCAACACACTGGTGAACCGCTCTTCTTTCTTCAAGTGTCCACAACAAAGAAGAAACCAAATCCAGCTTCAATGCCTGCTGCTCAAAAACAATAAAACTTTTGGGATATTAACGTAAGAATATACATTTCCTTTTATTGGATGAAATACTCTGATCAATGACAAAATTTAAACCTTAAGTTTGTCCTCTGGAAAAGAAAGTAACTCTCAAGGGTGGCTCAACATTCTACTGTGGAATCAATCATGTGGTTGGGCTTTGCAACTTGCAAGTGAAAAGAGAAGAAAGAAAGGCAAAAAATTATCCTCAAGTTTAAAAAAAAAAGCAAAACTATAAAAAGAAAAATCCCTGGTAATCGGGTGATGTAGGAAGGTCTTCTTCTATCTATCTGTTGTTTCATTGGTTAACTAATAAAGAAAACTGCTTGGCCTGATAGGACAGAACACAGGTAGGAGGGGAAGACAGAACAGAATGCTGGGAGAAAGAAAGCAGAGTCGGGCAACTGCCATGAAGCTCTAGCCCGAGGTGGACGTGGGTTAGAATCTTTCCAGTATGCCACGACCCCGTGGTGATACACAGATTACTAGATATGGGTAAGCAAGATGTGAGAGTTAGCCAATAAGAGGCTAGAACTAATGGGGCAGGCAGTGATTAAATGAATACAGTTTGTGTGTTGTTATTTCTGGGGCTAAGCTAGCCATGCGGGAGCCGGGTAGGACCAAAAGCAAGCCTGCTCTCATCACTAGAATCAGGATTCCTGTAGCTGGGGGAAAGTGTGCCGTGTCCTTCTGTATGTAATTTTAAATGATGCTGGAATGAGCAGGGAGCCTGAATATGGGCTGTTGGTTATGGGATGGCATCACACCCATGTCAGATACTTGATTTTTGCTCATCGTGGTGTGGTTGCATAAGATATTGTCTCCCTTTTAGAAAGGAAACACACATTGAGGTATTTAGGAGAAAATAAGGTATCTGTGACTTTCTGTTAGAAACTGATTTAGGAAGGTGTGCATCCAAACAGACTAGGCTCCCAAAAAAGCCAGTACATGCAGTAGAATCAAAATCCGGTATCATTATCATTGGCTTATAAATAAATTAAAAAAAGGAAGAAACTGATTTAGAACAAATGTGTACTTATGTATGGAGAAAAAGAAGGAGAAAGATTATTGGGGGAATGGAGGGAAGATGTTATTAGCAGTGGTAAATATAAATAAAAGTTAAATACGCATGGATTTTTAAAAAAGATTTGTTATCATATATAGTGTTCTGTCTGCATGTATCCCTGCAGGCCAGAAGAGGGCACCAGAACTCATTATAGATGGTTCTGAGCCACCATCTGCTTGCTGGGAATTGAACTCAGGACCTGTGGAAGAGCAGCCAGTGCTCTTAACTTCTGAGCCATCTCTCCAGGCCCCCACATAGGAATTTTGAAAGTAATGACATCCTTGCAAGTTGTAAGGTAGAAACATATAAAATTAAAAGGTATCAATAAAAAGATTCAATAAAAATATTCCTGTATAGTTGAAAATAATTTTATTAAATCACACTCAGATTAATCATATTATTAATAATATATATTAAATTAAGTACCAGAGAAATATAGGAAGTGTATAGAGCTAAATGTAAACAGAATTACATAGAGAAACACACTGTAAAGGAAAAAAGAAATCCTTACAAGGATATTTATAGCTCTTTAAAATGGACATATTGGATCAATGAGAAGGTTTAGCATCACGTGCACCTGCCGGAAGCCAGGGGACCTGAGTTCACTTGTATTGTGGAAAGAGAGAACTGCCTCCTGCAAGCTCCTCTCTGACCTTCACACGATGCCACAGTATTTGTGCACCCACACAGAGCACCCGATGCTCCACACCCCACCTATACACACAATAAAATTAAATTACAAGTGGACAAATACATTAATGAATCAAATGTATCGGGAAACATGACAGTTCATCAGCACCAGTTGGTCACTGCTTTTTCTTCTGCTTATCCCTCCACTTAGCTCCACCTCCAGATGTAGACACAGAGTTTGCAATGCCTCAGTTTCCAGAGGATTGGGAAGGGAGGTCATAAAGAGGAAGAAGCCCCTGGAAGTAACCCAAGCTCACTTCTGAGCTGTGTATATGCAGATTTTATCCCAGAAGCACACAAAAGCCTTGCAGATGTGAACTAAGGGATCAAAACCTAGAGTGGCTGATGGAGGAAGGTCATTGGCCAATAAAGAAACTGCTTGGCCCTGTGGGTGGAGTAAACAGAACAGGATACTGGGAGGAAGAGGAAGTGAGCTCAGAGACTCCACAGTCTCTCCTCTCGGGAGCAGACGCCTGAGAGAGATGTCGTGCCCCGCTCCCGGGATGAAGCTCCGACCCAGGATGGACATAGGCTAGAATCTTCCTGGTAAGCGCACCTTGGGGTGCCATACACAGATGATTAGAAATGGGCTAAATTAATATGTGAGAATTAGCCTAGAAGAGAATGGGCCAAGCAGTGATTAAAAGAATACAGTGTCCGTGTAATTATTTCAGGGCATAAGCTAGCCGGGCAGGAGGCTGGGGTGTTGGGGACGCAGCCCCGCCGCCACCCATTATTACTACAAGTGGCTAACACATGGAACACAGCAAGACAGAGCCAACTGTCTTCTCGACGTGATGAGTCTCAGCACACAGGTGGCTTGTGACAATGGTGGTTTAACTTAACTGATTTTCTTCTGAAGTAAAAATATAAGCATCTCCCATGGGGCTTTAAAAAGACAGGCTCTTATCACATGCAGTTGAGATTATCCAATACATCATCCAAAATAGTTTGGAATACAAAGATCAGCTGATATGATAACATGAAATTGAAATTAAATGACAAAATCTTCAAGACAGCTATTACTTAAAGTTTCTACCAAGCTGTAGTGAAGACCCGGGGATCTTCGACATGTTGGAAATACAGAACATCTGCCTAGCAAGGCTACACGCAGCAAGTGCAGCCAGCCCAAGAAAGGGGTCATGCGATCTACCACCAACCAGTATGCTCAGGAAAATGAGTTCTCATGTCAGCCCACACCCGATGTGTGGGACCCGAAGCTACCGGAACCAATGTTTTCCAGGCTATGCTTCCGTCTTGCTTTGATGTGAACCCTCCTTACATTCCTCCTAGTCTTCCTTTTTGGGATGGAAATGTTTACTCCATACCATTTCACCTTGGAAATATATAATTTGTTTATAATTTTACAGGGGCTCACAGCTATAAGTTTTTCCTGCGTCTCGAGGGAGAGGTTTAGCTTGGCCTTCTGAACAGTGTCAGAACTGTTATCAGTACAGGATTCTTAGAGACTGACTAATTACATTTTGCATAGTGAGATGGACTTTACCCTTTTGGGACCCAGAATAGAGTGCTATATATGATTTGAATTATAGACTGCTCCCCTTACAAGTTTATATATAGTGGAGGTTGGACCCAAGCTTGTGGGGGTTTTTTAGGGAATATCTTTGGGGGCTGTTCCTTCTTCCCTTTCTCTGCTTCCTGCCCACCGTGAGGTAAGTAACCTCTGATGCACGGTTCTACCACTATTCTGTCTGTTTCACCATGGCTGAGAGGCAACAGAACGACAGCCTGTGGACTGAAATTCCTGGCACTGTGAGCCAAGGAAACTTCTCAAAGTTTCTCAAAGAAACTTTGATGCTATTTGATCAGGTATCCTCCACAGGGATGAAATGTCTGGCTATCCAACCTTTCTACTGAAGTAACTAGAATTTCTTCTTTAATCACTATCAATGCAGATAGTTCCAAAGTAATGGTTCCAAAGTAAGTTTGATATAATTATTTCTTGTGATGCTTTATAACTGGAGATCAGAGACAAATCTTATAAAGTATCCCCATTTTACTCAACTTCCAAGTATTCTCATTCTTAACAAAGCCACTAAAATACTTCATTAAGGCAGCAATAACATTCTGATCGTTCTTATAGAACAAGTTCAAGTTTGCATTGTGTTACTACTATTTAAGTGGATATATGATTGCCCCAAGGAAAGCCAGTGGGATTATAACTCTCAGGATACTGTGTTATAAGTACATATGCTACAAAAACGTATCTATCAGTAACCCGCTTCTTACTTGATAATCCGTTGTTATGTACCCAAGTCACTTCTGTTGATCCAAGAACAGCAGCATTTGATTTTCTGACAATTCCTTTTATTTCACTGGTACCATCATAGGTTGTCAAAGGGAAGTCTCACAAGGTTATAATTCTTAGGACAGTGATCACGTTTTAGTAAAAGGGAAGTTTTGTGACGAATCTGCTGCTTTTCTCTTTCTAGGTAGTGATGGATAATAGCATTTAGTTGACGTTGTTTCAAATGTCTCTCACCAGGACTGGCGAGACGGGTCAGTCGGTAAAGGCACCTGGTGCTAAAAGCCTGAGGCCCAGAGTCTGACCCCCAGGATCCACATGGTGAAGGAGAGAGGTTGTCCTCTGACCTCTGCATGCACATCAAGGTACCTGCACTCCCCACCCCTGCTATATTGAAGTTTAAAGTCTCTCCTTAGATGACACCTCTAAGAATTTTGCAAGAATAGCTGTACTGTACTAGCCTCTGAAACGCAAGCGTTCATGATGTATACGCCAAGGTTCAATGTACTCTGGATAAGAGACTCAAATGTACCTAAGTAAAACTGATTTTTATTGTGGCGGGGGTGGGAGGACAGCACACATGCAGAGGCCAGGGAACAACTTTACGGAGTGTGCTATTCATTTCTTCTACCTTTGCATGGGTTCCAGGAATAGAGCTTGAGTCAGTCTTGCGGCAATCACCTTCTACCGAGTCATCTCACCGAAACCTAGGCAATCTTATTTAACAGAGAATCTGGGCTGACACTGACAGCTCAGGCAGGAGAAGAGCTGGGTCCTGCTCTTGCCAGGGCTTCATCCCAAGGCCACGACATTCTGGTCACTCTCTCCACTGGGGGACCCCAACTGTACCAAGTTGCTTCCACTCTTTCACTCACTGTGCCTGGCTGCGATGGCTATAAAGCTACTCTTGGTTATTAACTTGACTACATTAGAAACTAAAACTCCCAAAATAAAGGGCATAACTCTGAGGGATTTTTTTTTCTTAATTTGAAATAGGAAGCTGCACTTCTAGTCTGGATCTTCTAGTTATGAAGACATGCTTTTAATCCAGATCTTTCGAGCTGAGAAAGACAAGCCTCTAATATGGATCCAGCGCGGGAAGAGGCACCTTTAACCTGGACCACACCTGGACGTCTATATAAGGACATGGAAGAAGGAAGCTTTTGCTCTTTGCCTGCTTGCCCCCGCCTTGCTAACAATCCATCCCTTCACTGGCATTAGGACCTACTTCTCTGGGATTCCAGCATCTGCTGAAGATAAGCCGAGACAACCAGCCTCGTGAACTGAGCAGCTTCTGGATTCTTGGACTTTTGGGTCACGTCAACCACTGTTGGATTAGCTGACTGTGGTCTGTTCTAAGCCTCCTTCCTATATAGAGATTCATTTTGTAAGTTCTACTACTTCAGAGACCCCTGACTAATACACTGGTCATCTGAAACTTTGGCCCCCACTCTCCTCTGCTATCCCCTCTGTCATCCTATAGCTCTTAAGCATAGAAGGAAGCTTTTGCTGAGTTCCCGTTTAAATCAAGTTTCCCCTGTTCCTTCTTCACGGTAGGGTGTGCTTTTAAGCTTTTGTGTTAAGGTCCTGAATGGGCATTTGTTGGATGTGAACATCTTTATCTCCATGGAATCATGCCATTTTTGTTCTGTATCCAGGGTTTCCAGGGCAGTAGAATGGAAGGGTCCTTATGGCACTATGTGAGATTTTCTTTTCAATATATTGAATGTTGTACCAAAAAACCACAAAATACTGTCTCCCGGTAGCCTACAAAACAAACATGATTTCCCTGCTAACGGGAGTGTGGGTGAGTTGTTTTGCCTACCTGGACTTGGCTAGATTCAGCTCATTTGCAATGGGTTTCATTCTTTAAGATCTGTTGGTCATTCAAGGCAGCAGAGGAGACGGTGACCCGAGTGTTCCTTTAAACACAGATGACCAAGGGCATGAGAAACCGAATAATACAGGTTACTCAAAAGCACTATTCAAAAGTTGTCCAATCTCTACTACTTGTATGCATAGTCAAAAACAACAATAGACCGCATGGTCGCTGTTAAGCAGGACAACTTTCAACTGTCCCTTAAAGGGCCGTTTTGTATCCGTCAGTGCCCTGATATCCCACACGCCACACCGTATGTCCCACAGTCCAGTCTCACAACTCTCAGAAACAGGTTTCTTTTCAGAGGCCGTGAGCATCCTATGTGAAAAGCAGCACACTCTGAATGATCCCAGCAGTTGTCCCCCACCTAGAATGACAGCCATTGTTAGTAGAAAAAGAAGAACACTTCTACCAAAGGCCTCGTGTTCCAATGTATTTCAGGAGGGCCTTGATCCCTACGAACTCCACAAGGTGCCCTTTCATACTGAATTCTAGGTTGATTCTTGCAATCGACTGGTATTTGACTGATGTTTTCTATGAGTCTTGTACGTGCTGAGGGTGGTGGCATAGGTGAGTATTTCCTACCCCTGCTCCTCCTTCCCATGAGAATGGTCCCTCTTTATTCTATTTGTTCCTGCGAGTCTCCATGATAAGCAAGGACCAGGCAGGGAGAGTACCGGTAGCATGAACATAAATGCAAGGAATAAGTGAGACAAAACAAAAATGTCAGGCACTTCATGGTTCTAATGCTTACGAACTTTCTGAACTAATTTAATTTTACCAGCTTGGTCAAAGCACAGGGACAGATTACTTTCCGTGTGCAGAAAGACCATCCCTACACATGAGGCAGACAATAAATCCAGAGAGCGAAGCCCTCCCGGTGTGGTCCAAGAGCAGTGAAGATTACTGCAAGCGAGCCATGCTCCCGCACCATGAACTTCAGCCGTCACCCTGTTACCTCACAACACAAGTCCATGAGCGCTCCCTATTAGTCCCCTATAAACAAAGCACAGGCAGGACTAAAGTGTAAGCTCAGAGCAGTGCAAACAAGCAGAAAGCAAACAGGCAGTGTCAAGTGTGATGACCACTTCCTGCCGCTGCCATGGGAACCCAACACCACGGATGGTATGGGTATCCTTAACAACAGGGGTCTAATATTTGCACTAAGAACATGCCTGGGTACCGTGTGGGCTAATCCTCACAGCTGCCCTGTTTTCCTCGTCTCCATTTCAGAAAACAACAGGGTGAGGTTTAAAAGGCTGGAGAGATTTTTAGAGGCCCAAAAATGTGAGCCTACTTCCATCTTGTCAGAGTTTGAGCTTGTTCAAATCTGTTGACAAGTGTGGCTACAAACCCTGACCTAGGGTGTGGTAACTTAGTGTTTCTGACATTAAGATGGCCCTTGTAGGTAGATCCACTCTACCCTGACCAGGAGCCGAGAAATTCAAGCTCCTTCTTTTGAAATGGGAGGTTTGACCTTGGGAGTGGCTGCCTTCAGGATACTTGGTCTCGGGTGGGTTCACAGCCTAAACAAGAGAATGCTAATGCCTTGATATCTCAAAGTATTGAAGCAAATAACTGTTCCAGCTGTCCTTTGTATCATGTTAAAGCAGTCTTTTGTCTTCTTCTCCCTGTTGTATTGGGGTATAAAAGTGTATGGAAAATTAAAGGCAGGCGGATTTCAATATTCACTGGAACTCCCTCCCGGTGCTATCCTATGTTTCTGTTTTGTTATTTTCACTCACGTCTTCATTCTCTTTACTTTTCTAATCCCCATGCCCCTACCCTGGTAAATGATACTTTTGTGGAAGCTGATCTCTGACAAGAGAGGACTCAGTAGTTAAGAGTTCTAGCTCCACTTCCAGAGGACCAGAGTTTGGTTTCCACGACCCATGTCAGGTGGCCCACAGTGGTCTGTAACTCCAGCTCCAGGGGATCCAAAGCCTCTGGATTCCAAATGTCACATGCACTCATATGCAAATAACCATGTGTTTGAGCACACACAGAGTACACATACACACCCTTAAATATAATAAAAAAAATAAATCATTTAAAAAACCAAAAACGTGGCTTAGAAAAGTTAGTTTATTCGGTATTTTGAGACAGATATGCGTAAACTCTAGGACAGGTTTATTCTATGTCGACTCTTCCACCTGCTAACACAACTGCTATTGTGGGCATCGAAAGACGTGTGTGTGAGCTCTAACGATGGCTCAGCTGTTAAGAGCACTTAATTCCCTTGCAGGGAGCTCAGGTTTGCTTCCCAGAACCCACATGGTGGCTAACAATATCCTGCTCCAGTTCCAGGGGATCTGACACCCTCCTCCGACCTTCACTGGCACCAGACACAGGCGGTGCACATTCATTCATGCAAGCAAAGCACTCATACACAGAAAATAAAAACCTGAAACCGTGTGTCAAAACACCTTCGGAGACGTTAAACCAGTAGTGGTTAATATTACAGCTGTACAGCTGAGGCTGAACCGACGGCCTTTAGCAAACAGAGGCTATCACAATATTCCTTCGTGTTTACTTACGTGCCTAGCACGGACACATCATCTTCCCGTAAGTCCACGGTCCTGCCCTAATTTCAGATGTTATTCATGTGACTTGACAGACTGTTAGAGGTGTGATAATGCAGCAGAAGTGTCTCTAAGGAGCATGGCAGCTCAGTCCAGCCGCCGATACTGTAGGACGAACAGAAATGTGGGCGCTAAAGGCACTTCCCAGGCCCTGAGCCTGAGAGCACTTAAGAGACTCAGGCCGTGTAGCACAAGGAACACAAGGTTCATCGCCAAGGGAGCTATAACATCTCCATGGATGTGCTGACAGTACCAGCTATCAGATTTCCTCATGGGAGTGCCAAGTGCAGGACTGCTAGAGGGGGAAGCACTCGGGTAAACGCAGGGGCACCCATTAGTCTGGCAGATCCAAAGCTTTGGGGGTGTGCAAATTGTCCTAGGTGACTGGAATTGCCCCTTACATTCCAAATCAAAGATGGCCCTTCATTTGTTCTGCAAATGCCTGCTCCCCATAAACAAAGCCGCAGGGACAGGAACCAGGCCCTCGGCGTCCGGGAATCGCGCCTGGGTGTCCAGGCGAGAGCACACTGAGCGACGGTGCCCGGGACACCTGCCCAAAAGCCAGGACGAGCTCAGCGCCCGAATCGCGCGCACCCAGGGGCAGTACTGGCCCACGCACATGCACACGCACGGGAGCGCAGGTTCCCGCGTTCCCGACGCAGCTCCGAGGCCCGGCGCCGGCGGGAGCCCAGGAGCCCAGAGCTCCAGGCGGGGCGGGTGCCCGAGAACTGAGCTCGAGCATTCGCTCCCCAGCGGCCGAAGCCCCGCCCTAGCCCCGCCCACCCCCTTCTCCCGCGCGCGGGCTTCGCGCGCCCCATGCCGCGCGCGTGCGCGCGCGTGCGCAGGGCCCAGGGCCCTCCGCGGGCGGCCCCGTAGAGCCAAGGAAAGCGTCGACCCGTAAGGTCCTAGGTTAACCCTTTCCCTGCTCGCTCACTCAAGAGGCCCGGTCGGGTTCCGTGCCTGCGCAGGCGGCGGCGCGCCTTCTGCCCCCCCCCTCCAGGCTCGCACCGCGCATGCACGGGGAGGGGGGGTGGGGGTGTTCGCGGCCGGCTAGATATTCTGTGCTCGTGCAGGAAGAGGGCTGCTACCACCAGGGACGTGCACGATTTCCCCCCCACCCCACCCCCTCCCCAAACTACAAAAAAAAAAAAACAACAAAATCCAAAACACTGCCACCCACCGTGCCCCCGCGTCCATCCCGTCCTGGCCTGCGCGCTGCCGACCGCGGGAGCCCACGGCGAGCGTCTGTAGCTGTGCCAGGCTGCAGGTAAGCGCGGGCCGGGTGCTGAAAGGGCCGGGGCGGGCGCGGGGACGCGGGGGCAGCCGGCGGCGGGCGCGGCGGGGCGGCTGAGAGGAGGCGCGTTCCCGCCGAGCTCGGGCAGCAGCCAGCTGCAGGATGTGGCGGCGCAGCGCGGTGCGAGCGGGATCGGGCGTGGGCCGCGGTTGGGCGTGGGGGCCGGGCGCCCCGGGGGCCGCGCAGGCCGGCGAGCGAGCCGGTGGGGAGAGGCCAGGCGGCGGCCCGCGCGCGCGCTCCCTCGCTCGCTCGCTCGCTCGGCGGCCGAGTTCATGGCCGCCCCGCTCTCCTCGCCGCAGTGCACCGCGGTGGGGGTGGGGACGGCCGAGCCGGGCCCGAGCGCGGCCCGCGGGGCGCCGCCCCTCGCAGCTGTCTCTCGCCCCCCCCCCCCACCATTTTCCCCGGAGCAGACGGGATCCCCCGCGCACGCTCCCCGCCTGCGTCCGCGGAGCTCCGGGGAGCCGGCCGCGCGCCGCCCCCGCCCCTGGCCGCGGGAGGGCGCGGGAGGACCAGACGCGCAGGCCGCGGAGTGCGCGGGGCGCGAGCTCGGGGCTCGCGGGCGGAGCAGGGCGCGGCGCGGCGCGGGGCTGCGGAACCGGCCCGCATGCCCGCTCCCGTGCTCGCCGCGCCGCCGCCGGGGCTGCTGCTGCGGGCCAGGGAAGAACCTCGCTCCCGCGCTGCCACCTGGAGAAGTGGCGGATCGTGGAAGGGAAAGTGGCCTGTCGCCGACGGGCGCCACGCCGGGGAGCTTTTGTTTGGGAAAGAATGCTTCAGGGCTCGCTGCGCTCGGCGGCTCCCGGGCTGCGAAATGCGAGCGTGGGCTCCCACGCGCGGGCTGCGCCCCGAGTCTCGCGCCAGGCCCAGTCTTCCCCACTCCCAAGTTGTGCGGTCGCAACAGGGAAGTGGTGTGGCCGCCATTGTCGCAGCTGCTCCGGCATAAGGAGGCGGCTGCGACTGCTTATGTAAGTTTGCTTTGGGAAAGCCGGGCTCCCTGCTCCCCGGTGCGGGCGCCTTAGCGTTCCCGCGATCTGGAGAACGGCTAGCAAGGAGCTGCTTTAGGGTATTGTATGTGTTGGACTATGTCTTGTCCCACACCTACTTACACACATACTGGCAATGGCTATCTTCCGGTTTGACTCATTTGAACTTAGCAATGGGAACATCTCTATAGGGGGAAAAAAAACGAGCCGATTGGCCCGTGACCTCCTTTGAAAAAGAATACACACTAACCAGAAATGAGAAGCTGCACGCTGATGCGTTGCCATGGCTACTGTAGAGCCACCCTTCTCTGCCATGCTCGTTTTGATTCCACAGTTAGTGACAACAGAGGTGTCACCAAAGATTCTGAAGGGAGTGCCCTCCTTCAAGCCCGCTGCAGGCTCAGGCTGCATCTAGAACACAGGAAGGCCTAAATGAAGAATGGCGCATCCTTAGAAATCCCCTTACCAGCCCTCATGTAGTACAGATGAGAAAGCCTGCTGGTTCCGAGCTCTGTGGTTCCTTCCTATTGCAGGAATTTGTTAGGGGTCCTTTGGTGGAGTCTTGCGCCAAGTCTTTGTGTAGGACTGGATTCTAGCGCAGCCACCTGCTTCTACACACTTCCGTGTTTGTGGGATTAGTGGTCACTAGAGGATATTTTTGTTCTTTAGTATATGGGCCTGCAGGATGTAGAGTCCTATAGATGAGACTTAAGAATCAAAGCAAATTCTTTGAACCTTTGTATAGGAAGGGATAGAGGGAAAAGTGTGGACTTTGCCGCTGCCGTCTGGCACACAGTTTACAATTGCGCGGACAATGTTTGCTCCTTGCTTCCCCTCCTAGCGAACGTGTGCTCCTACAGCCTCTGCTATATTTAGAGAAACGTGCATCTAGACGTTTCTAGGTCCTGAAGAGAAAGTGGAGAACTAGGTACCCAACAGGACGTGGTGGGGGTAAGGACACACACTGATGTCACCTGCCACACTTCTAGTCCTTATGTAGAACCAGGCCGGATTACTGCTAGTCAGATTACTGGCTTCTACCCAGAAAAATGGGTTCGTATGCAAGAGGTGGGGCGATAAAGGGGTCTGTGGTTCTTGTAAACACTTGGTTTAGAATTTGAGATAGGGAAAAATCTTACTTAGTCTTTTATCTTTTTTCTGATAGATCTGGCTTGCCCCTGATCAGACTTACTCTGATCTGAAGATTTTGGAGTTTAAGGCATTAAGAAAATAGCCTGAATTGTTCATGGTAAGTGTACCTTAGAATATTAAAAATTAGAATATCACTTGGCATTTGATTTAAAATAAGTATCTCAGGTCTAGGGGTATCGGATAAGGGGTTGTGTATTTTCTTGGCTTAAGCAAGCCCCTGGTCCCCACTGTGCACACAGACACACACACACACACACACACATTCTAGTTACACATTTACAATTCTTTTTCTATGAGGAAAAATCTGCTTTCCTCAGACATATACACTGTTGAATAAAACTAAGACAATTGTTTTGTTTTTCTTTTAGTAGAAAATGTAAAACACATTGGTTTTAGATCAGTTCTTAAACACATTGCTAGGTCTTTCGTGGTGGTCCTGAAATTCTTTTGCTTTTAATTTAAAATACTTCAACACTTACTGAGTAAGGGTTGAACCTCCGTAAGTCCAAAATACTCAAATCCTGACACTTCCTGAAGGCTGATAAGAAGCCACAAATGAAAAATCTATACTATGAAGTTTTGTTTAAAATACTATCTAAGCCAGGCGGTGGTGGCGCACACCTTTAATCCCACCAATCAGGAGTCAGAGGCAGGTGGTTATCTATGAGTTCAACTATGAGGTTATCTATGTAGCCTGGTCTACAGAGTGAGTTCCAGGACAGCCAGGGCTACACGGAGAAACTCTATCTCGGAAAACCAAAAAAAAAAGTAAGAAAGAAAAAAGAAAACGAAATAAATAAAGTATTATTTGAAATACTGTATAAATTACCTTCATACTATGTGTGTAAGGTATGTATAAAATATCAACTAGTTTTGTATTTTGGCTTGGACTGGCTTCCCCAATTTATTTTATGAGGAATATGCATAATTGCAAAATCTGAAAAAATCTGAAACTTGAAGCACTTCTGGTCCTGCATGCCTGTTGCTGGTGAGACTTAACTGGGTGGCTGGAAGATTGACATCCTGTGACAAGAAGCCACTCGTCAGTCTCTTCCCAGATATCTTTGGGGTCAGATTAAACCTTGACGCTCGTCCAGGAGTGGCCCAAAGCAGCTGTGGAGAGACTAGTAGAAAACACAGACTCCTGTGGCTACAATGGCCTCTCTACCTCTCCAATGGTGGTTTGTCTCTTCTCAAGGAAGTATAATGCCCAACCCAGATGGTATTTTCCTGAGTCCTCCGTCCTTGGAATCAGACGCCATAGATAGGACTTGCGGATTCTCTTTTTCTGTGTTTGTGGCGTGTATTCATGTCTGCACGTGTGCAAGTGCGTGCATGCGTGTATGTGCATGTGCATGTGTGTGTGTAAGGCCATTCCTGCGGAACCCCTAGGCTGACATGGTGGGAGTCTTCCTGATTGCTCTCCATTGTTGGCGGAGGCAGGCTCTCTCGGTTCTACCTGGAGTTCACTGTTCAGCTAGTAGAGCTAGCCGACTCTGCTCCAGAATTCACTTGTACCTTCTTGAAATTAGAGGCCCACCATGTGTTACACTGCTGCAGGGAATATAGCCCCCTTTTACCTACTGAGGTCTCCGGCTCCAGGACTTGAGGATTCTTGTCTCAATCCTGTAACATACTTCACGGTCGGACTGTTTATCAGTCTTTTTCCTCTGCCTTGACAGTCTGAGTTTTTAAACCACGTTTCCTGGATTTGATTACTAGATCTTAAATAGTTATAGCACAGCTCCTTAACCCCTTTTACAAACCGAGGACAACACCTATTTCATAGGGTTATTTGTACTTAAGTGTGTTGAGACATCTAAAGCATATAGAATAATGCCTGGTGTGTATTTTGTTAAAAGCTGCTGTTGTTCTAACTAGGAAACTGTTGTAAACTGAAAGTACTTCAGAATAGCAACATGGAAATCCCTTGTCTGGGGTCATTCTTTCCTGCCTGTTTTTGGAACATCTTTAACACCAAGATTCTAGATTGTTGGGTTCCAAATAGTCACAGTATGACTGCTTTTGGGGCAGGGGTGGGGTGGGTATGGGGAGCACTACTCATTAATTAAACTCCTTTAAAAAAAAATTTTTTTGCAGGAGTTTTTCATCAGTATGTCTGAAACCATAAAATATAATGACGACGATCATAAAACACTGTTTCTGAAAACGCTGAATGAACAGCGCCTGGAAGGAGAGTTTTGCGATATCGCGATCGTGGTTGAAGATGTGAAGTTCAGAGCCCATCGCTGTGTTCTCGCTGCCTGCAGCACCTACTTCAAGAAGCTCTTCAAGAAGCTAGAAGTGGATAGTTCTTCCGTCATCGAGATAGATTTCCTCCGCTCTGATATATTTGAAGAGGTCCTGAACTACATGTACACAGCAAAGATTTCCGTGAAAAAGGAGGATGTGAACCTGATGATGTCATCGGGTCAGATCCTTGGTATCCGGTTTCTGGATAAACTCTGTTCTCAGAAGCGTGATGTGTCCAGTCCCGATGAAAGCAATGGCCAGTCCAAGAGCAAGTACTGCCTCAAGTTAAATCGGCCCATCGGAGATGCCGCCGACGCTCAGGATGATGATGTGGAAGAAATCGGGGACCAGGATGACAGTCCCTCCGACGACACGGTAGAAGGCACTCCCCCGAGTCAGGAGGACGGCAAGTCCCCCACTACTACTCTCAGGGTTCAGGAGGCGATTTTAAAAGAACTGGGGAGTGAGGAAGTCCGAAAAGTGAACTGCTATGGCCAGGAAGTAGAATCCATGGAGACTCCCGAGTCCAAAGATCTGGGGTCTCAGACCCCTCAAGCCTTAACATTTAATGACGGGATGGGTGAAGTAAAAGACGAACAGACTCCAGGCTGGACAACAGCTGCCAGTGACATGAAGTTTGAGTATTTGCTCTATGGTCACCATCGGGAGCAGATTGCCTGCCAAGCGTGTGGTAAGACGTTTTCTGATGAAGGCAGATTGAGGAAGCATGAAAAGCTCCACACAGCAGACAGGCCGTTTGTTTGTGAAATGTGTACAAAAGGTTTCACCACCCAGGCCCACCTGAAGGAACACCTGAAAATTCACACAGGGTATAAGCCCTACAGCTGTGAGGTGTGCGGGAAGTCCTTTATCCGCGCCCCAGACCTAAAGAAGCATGAGCGGGTTCACAGCAACGAAAGACCATTTGCATGTCATATGTGTGACAAAGCCTTCAAACACAAGTCTCACCTCAAGGACCACGAAAGGAGACACCGAGGGGAGAAGCCTTTCGTGTGTGGCTCCTGCACCAAGGCGTTTGCTAAGGCCTCAGATCTGAAGAGGCATGAGAACAATATGCACAGTGAAAGGAAGCAGGTCACCCCCAGTGCCATCCAGAGTGAGACAGAACAGTTGCAGGCGGCAGCCATGGCTGCCGAGGCAGAGCAGCAGCTGGAGACCATTGCCTGCAGCTAGAGGTGATGGGTCAGGAACACGTGGCCTGGGAGGTCGATGCCAAGGTTGCATTGATCCCAGTCAGTGAACACCTTTGACTGCTTTTGTGGCAACTTAGAGTGTTGGACTGGCTGGACCTAAGACAGAGCTCATTCCAGTTAGGTGATTTTCAGATTCCTCAAGGCAGTTACGTTACTACGTTCTGACCAAACAGTTTTTTATTTTGTTTTTTTGTGATGTCTAGTGTTCATGTTCCCGGTAAGCTCCCCTGCCCCTCTTTATGGTTTTAATTTGAAAACTCCTTTGTCCGGTTGAAAGTGAGCGGCTTCTCTTCCATTCTTAATTCCTCTATGCTTGCCAAACTGGTGAGTGCACCGCAGAGTAATTGAATAAATTGATTGCCTACCCGTCCCAATATATGTGACTTATGGTCAAAACAGCAGTTTTATTAACTGGATACAAGAACTTCATATTGGTGCAGAAAATGTTGGCACATGCCGACCGACCCAGGACACTATAAATACAAAACCAAGTTTGGAAATACGGAATGGTGTTAGTTTTATATTTGGCTTGTTGATTTTTAAATCTCTCTGTATATCATTGTTTTTACTGTTTCCGTGGACAGTAAATGGTTGCTTTGCTGAAGTGTTTCTTCATCCGTTGTGATGGCCCCTGCCCCCACCCCAAATGCTGCAGGTCATGTGGACCTCAGGGTGAGTGCGACCACCAGGATGCTGGTAGTACTGGAACTGAGTTCCTCTTTGACCCAGTGTGGCCACTCTGCCTGTGGGTGTCTGGAGTGAACCGGTAGTGAGAGAAGGAGAGAAGTCTCCGAGACCAGGTTTTCACAGATACAAAAACCCTCAAATTTCCTAGGTCTTCAAAATCCTGACTGATTTCAAAATTGGTTTTGTATTTAGGATCAAAATTAGGACAAGAAACAAAAATGCTTCTTGAGATGTTTTAGTAGTTTATGGATGATCAAGCTTTTGGGGTTCTCTGCAGCTCTCGGTTTCTCATAAAGATGCTTAAATAATTTCAAATCTTTCAAATGTGTAAATAGTAGTGTTGGTCCTACGTATTTCAAGGGAAAGGACAGCTGCACTTTTTTATTTTTTTATTTTTTTTGCACATTGGATTAAAGTACCTTTCATTGGCAACAAACATCAGACTGTCTTAACCGATATTAAAGATCTTCAGACCGATCATTTGTTTTCCAAGTATGTTTTATCACTGGCTGCAGTTTTCAGTAGAAACTGACTGCCTCTTCATAGCCATAAATCAGAATTATGAACTTTGTTTGAGATCTGGCATACTAAAAGTGCTTTTAACTGTTTCCTTAGGAGTATATTGAAATGCCAACAGAGTTTGAATTATGTTCTGTAAGAAAGTACTAGACCATTGTTTTAGGATGTGTACAGTTGTAGAAAGTAAGTGCCAACTTTTAAAGTTCATGTTTGGTTCTTAAGATTTTCGTTTTTAAAAAATACATTAAAATAATTTCATTACATGGCTTGCTATATGATCACCTGTTATGACTATTGTGAGAACATTTTTATTTTCAAAATTGGTGTGCGTGTTACGCCCAAGAGTGTCAGGTGGGGATGTTACCTTTCAGAATTTCTTATTTATTGGTAAAATGTTTTGGTTTAAAATTAACTTAATTTTCCCTGAAAGCTCTTTGTTCTGTATTGAAGGCAGTCCTGTCAGTGTGTTTCTGTGCTGTTAGGGAGGGGACCGACTGCTGTTCCCAGGCCGTGCTGACCAAAGCAAACGTGAAGTCAGCTGACATCCTGTTGATAGCTACTTCAACAAACCATATTTTGGGCCTTTGTTTTTGTATATAAAGAAAATAATACACTTGTCTCGTTCTTGCTTGTTTTCTTCATGTGCACGTCCAGATCCATACTACCTTCTCTTGGTTTTATAGAGGTACCGACTTAGCATATGAAATTAGTCCCTATAGAAAGCCTGGAGACACAAAGCGGAACTTTCAGTACTTTCTATTATGCGTTTAGCATTTGAACTGCTTCATACAAGACATGGATTTGCACTCCAGCTTCTCCCATGGGTGCTGGGTTCCTGTTGGAGTGTGTGGTGACTGTAGGGTCTTAAAATTACTTTTCTTGGCCCTGAGCAATAACACTCGTCTTTGCTCATCCAGCTAGCTCTAGTCATCCTATGGGTAGTAAACATGGTGTTAGATCTCTCAAGGGACCCTCCAGAGGCTTAGGGAGCTCCTTTTGAGGTGTGCAGCCCTGAATCTGCAGCCAGAGGGGACGGGGAACCCTAAACATTGGCATTGCTAGCTTTCCGTCAATACCATCTCTTTCTGTACAAAGTTATGTCCGCAGGCATTGTGTTGACTCATTATGTTAGGATTGGTTTAGATAATGACTATTAGGAGCTGTAAGCTTGGCGTAGTGTCGGTCAGCTTTCTGTTACTGTAAAAACAGCCAAGAGAGTTGGCCGTTGGTGGCATAGGCCTGTCATGCCAGCTACTCAGGAGGCTGAGGCAAGACACCAATCCGAAACCTGCCTGCATGGCTAAAGAGTTGCTCAGGAGCACTCTGAGCAAGTGGGAGACACAGGGATCTGGCACAGATGCAGTGCTCACCTATCCATCATGCATGGACTTCAGTATCACTGAGGGTTATACTGGGGGGTGGGGGACGATAGGTCTCAGATTCAGACACGTGTTTAACACCCTGAGCCTGGGTTTCTTCACTTTTCAGGCAGTGGTGTGGGTTTCCACCTCATCATTTTCCATGAAAATGATGCAATACTCGACCCAGTACCCAGCTATGTAGGTGCACCAAAAATATTTCCTGGGCTTTTGTTGTGTGGGTTTGTTCTAGACATGCTGTCCCTGTAGCTTGACTGGTCTCAAACGCAAGAGATCTGCCGGCTTCTGCATCCTCAGTGTTGGGACTTTGGGCATATGCCTATAAATCCTGCTACATCGAGCAAGTTCTCAGTGGACACCAACATATGTGTGCGCACACAAGCACAAGCCTGTCAATTCTGTGATTGCCAGCTCTGGGTTGTAGACTGATAGCCGCATTTAAAGAGTTCATTCATAACTGAAACGATCTGCAGAAGCTGTGTTCAATCTTGACATTTGTAGACTGCCCATTCACCGCTCTATTCTCTCAAACATATTCATCCTCGAATTTTCTTTGGTTTCATAATCGCCCACCATTTGCCGTTCTTAAGTAGGTCATTGGCCTGTTGACAGGCGTACACCCTGGCTTGGTTGACTTGCAGACCTACTTCGGGACCATGACGACAAGCCAGAATCACAATGTTGAGAGCCATATGTGAAATCATCCGCTTAGCAAATATTTCTGTGTGGAGCTTTTCCAAAGTGGACTTGTTCAGTGTTGCCCTTCCTGGTTTGCATAAATTCCAAGAATATCTCTTCTTCTTGCTGAAGGGATTAGGACTACCACCCTAGAATTTTTATTTTAGTTCTAGAGTTTTCTGCTTGCTTTCCTTTAGAGGATGTTTTCATTTCTCTCAACAAGAGTCTGTGGAGTAGGTTAGTGTCTGTTCACACTGGTTGAATGTCTGGTATTGCAGTGTCAGGCATTGGACTAGGTGCTGGGACTGCCGCCGTGAGCAGGACTGACCCCGTTCCTACTGTCCAGAAACAAAAGCCTTACCTTTCCATATGGCACAGAATTCTACAGACTTTAGTGTAGTCGTCACGCAGGTGCAAAACATTTTTCAATTTGTGCGTATATTAGTCCAGTTCATAGAACATACTTTTAAAGGTCACTAAAAGGCTTTTGTTCTATTGTCATGAAGCTGAGGGGATCAAAATCAACTAGCAAGATGTCTTAGCAGGTAAAGGGCACATGCCACGGAGCCTGAGGACCTGAGTTTGATCCCCAGGTTTCACATGGAAAGAGGAATTACTCCTACAAGTTGTCCTTGGACACCACCGTGTTGCTATGGCATGCGCACACACATGCACACAATAGATTAGTGCAGTATTGATGAATCTCATGCGACGGGTCAGCAGAACTCAATTTAAACTTTGGTGGTAGGTAGGCTGTATGCTAATCGCTATAGCTGGTGTCCGTGGCTGGCTTATAGCCTGTTTGTCCACACTGTGAGCTAGCTACTACTATTCTCATTTAGTTTTGGGTTTTTTTCCCCCCTCTAGGTCATCATACCATTCACAACCCTTTGCTCACTTTGCTTTCGATAGGGTTTCACGTAACCCAGGCTTTAGACATCCAGAATCATGAGCCGAAATAAACCAGTTTTTCTTAAGAGTTCTTTCGTTTGGTGGTATTATTGGCAACAGAAAACAGATCCTATACACGACAGGGATTGTAATTTTACTATTCTCTTCTTTCAGTCGACCAGAGGTGTGGAGGGCCCAGACCTTCATCTGCTGCTCTGTCCCTTGCCACACAGACTGGGAGTGGCAGCCTCCTTCCCCGTCTCACTCCCTTTGTCCTGAAGGAGCAGATGATGACGTGGGTCTTTATGGTTAGTCCAATTGTTTCCACTACAAATCTATGCTTTGGCAGTTATTTTGTTTATCCTTCGGGAACATTTTAATGAAAGTACTTGAAAATTTCTTGTCTTCTAACTCCAAACCATGCTAGAAGTGATCATAAGATCTGGGTGCCAGGGCGGGGGGGGGGGGGGGGGGGGGGGGGGCGTGTTGGAAGCAGGCAGTTGTCCCTCGTACTCTGGAATGAGAACAGCATGATAATCCCGCAGACTGTCACAACTCCTAGCAAAATGACTCAAAACTCGCCAAGGTGCAGTCCAGTGTCTTAACCCAGGCTCTCCTGCACGTGCCTGGAGCGCGCTTGGCCGAGCCTTTGGGCCGTTCGTTCAGCAGGTGGGTTAGAGACTCTTCCAGACCGCCGTCCAGGAGGTCAGGAGGGCAGCATGGGAACATGTGTGACTTTTCCGTGGCTCTTGCTTCATGCACTTGCTTCTCGCCTTTTCCATTTGGGGCCTGATGTATAGAGCCATAGTTTTTGGTCCCCAGGCATTCTTTTCCCTTTCACTTTCTTCGTCTTGTTTCCCTATTATCGTTTTGCTCAAACAGCAACTGTATCTGTTAATTGAATTCATCATCTGCCCCCTTCCCCACCGGGACTATTAAGGCCCTAGTTTGGTTTTTTTTTTTTTTTTTTTTTTTTTTTTTTTTTTTGGTTTTTCGAGACAGGGTTTCTCTGTGGTTTTGGAGCCTGTCCTGGAACTAGCTCTTGTAGACCAGGCTGGTCTCGAACTCACGGAGATCCGCCTGCCTCTGCCTCCCGAGTGCTGGGATTAAAGGCGTGCGCCACCACCGCCCGGCAAGGCCCTAGTTTTTTTAAAACAGTCACACAGACTTCGTAAATACATACGACATAGTGGATGGCCCTATTATGGGCTACTGTCCTCTCAACCACTATTCTACCAAAAGAAAAGGGGGGTGCTTTACAGAATAGTAGGACAAATCTTGTTAGGTCAAAATAAAATAAAGCGGCCCAGTTTTCCTTTGCTCTCCCCCTGCCTGTGGAGCTGTGGAGAAACACACACTAAATGGAAGGATTATGTTGCTTCCCAGAGGAAACTCGTTACCAGACATGGAAGCCTCCTAAGGCTTCTTGGATTTCGGCTGTTTGGGCTGCTAACTTTGGTGTTCATCTCGGTCCCTCTAAGAACGGGTTTGCACAGCCTATGATCACTTCTCATGACGAATATGTCAGTTGTCTTCTTCCTGTAGAGAGCTTTTTACCTCCCTCATCCCTCTTGCTTGCGGACACTCCCACTTCTCGTGTGGCAACCAGACTTCAGGGTTGTGGGACACACCAGTTAAAGATTCCACAAGGCTCATCAGTTGATTAAAACCCGTGATTGCAGCCAAATGATCGCGGAGTGTCTTTAGCCACTCGGTTGCCATTTGTGGCCCGCCTGCTTGTCTGACCTAACCTCTCGGTGCCCTTCACAGGTAACCTTTGGGATGTGCCCAGGACCACCAGCTTCCCCCAGCTCTAGGCTGGGACTGTAATCAGATCGTATCCGAAGCCCCCAGTAGAGGGTTTCCTGCTGTCCGGCAGCCGTCAGAACCGGGGACGTTTTCACCAATGCGTTTGCAGAGTACCTTGATTTGTAACTCTCATTTAGTCTGTTAACTCTAGAAACTCCAGGGAATTGTTACAGAGCTGTAGCAGAGTATTCAGTGTCTTCTTCCTGTAGAGAGCTTTTTACCTCCCTCATCCCTCTTGCTTGCGGACACTAAATCTATGTCCTCAAGATCTGATCACTCGATTTTGACTCCAGAATTAACTAACAGTCCTTTAGACCAGAGCTGTATTTTCCTTTTTTTTTTTTTTTTTTTTTTTTTTTTTTTTTTTTTTTTTTTTTTGGTTTTTCGAGACAGGGTTTCTCTGTGGCTTTGGAGCCTGTCCTGGAACTAGCTCTGTAGACCAGGCTGGTCTCGAACTCACAGAGATCCGCCTGCCTCTGCCTCCCGAGTGCTGGGATTAAAGGCGTGCGCCACCATCGCCCGGCCCAGAGCTGTATTTTCACAGGGACACCTGTATATTGTGATTTTGTTCAATGGGAATTCGCGTTCACTGCTCTTATATAAATGTTACTTCAACTGAGATGTTTAGCATACCATTGCCAGCATTTTGGGGTATGCCCGAACTCTGTGACAGGTGTCTCATCTGACACTAGGCTATAGGCATGCACCATTAATTATTTTCTACAGCTTTTGAAGACCCACATCTCCATCATCGTGAATACTGATCTCACTTGGGGCTTCCGTTCTGTGCTGTTCCAGAACGCCATTCTTTGTTCCTAGTCTTCCTCCTTCGTTTGGACAGAACCCGACCTCCAACAGGAGCGCCTTGTAGGCTGGAACAC